TGTCGATGTCTCACATGTTCATTGCTGCGATGGTCGATTGCAGAACTATTTATGAAATGCATTTCCTGCTACTAAGCTGACGTTGCTATGTTACTGCTTATATGTTGGTGTTGTTTGATTAATAATGAGGGTGTATACTGACTATAATCTTTGAAGTTATTCTATCAATTATGGTAATAGATATTACTATGAATTTTGATAGTGATTATGCCGCTGATTGTGAATCATACAAAATAAAATTTAACGGGATATTCCAGTATTATTTAATTATGAAATCAGATATATATGTAGAAAGATTGGATTAAGTTATAAAATCCATGTTCTCTTTCTAATTTCTTTTTTTAAAGGGAATGCTTAGGTCCACGCCAAGTATTGATATTAAGTAAAGATGATTAGAAACGTACGCACTCGCTTACAAATGAGGACCATGCTATACAAAATGAGGAAAGAAAGTGATAATATAACATCAACATAATTGAAAAGTAAAGAAAAATATGGAAGAAAAGAAAAATGAGAGCTCATAGAGCCGCCAAAGTAAAAGAAATTATTGACTCCATCCAAGCTGAGAGATAAGAAGTTGCAAATTTAAGAAAAGATCTGAAGAAAGCTATCTCGTCACAAAAAAGTAGTATCAATTCCATAAACAACCAACCAATCAAAGGGCAACACAAATTACAACCGTTTGAGTCTCAAAGGGGATGTGAATTCATCGTGGCTCTCCCAAAAAATACTCATAAATACTAGAGAACCCATTAAAGGAAACCTAGTTGGTTCCTCGGTGGAGAGAGACAGTAGATTCTTCAAAATGGTGGCCAAAAGAAGGAGAAGAGTATCAGAAATATGAAATTCCACCACTCACGGCCAATCAAAAGATATGGCCTTCCCAAAAACCATCAAGAATAGCAGTGTGATACACAACAATCCCAAAATTGACCCACGGGATGTCATACGCCGCACAAAATTAGAAAAAAGAAAGAAGAAATTAGATCCCTATAAACAGTAAATTAACATAGTAGTCCCAAAAACAGAGCTAAGGACAGTCGAACATGATCCTGAACCAAAAAAAAAAAAAAAGAATAATCTGCATTCAGATATCGCAGTCTTATAATTTCATCAGAAATAGGGCTCCTGAACCTCCATCTTCTACTTTTGAGCTTAATAGCACAAATCATGTTGCTAACAATAGTAGCCATAAGATGTTCAAAATTTCTAATTATCTGGGAATTCATTTCCAACCATAAATAAAGAGAAGTAACATAAATAGCTAACAAAAAAGTTTTGCTTGTAATAGAACCTGAGATACAAACAACATAGCCAAAAATCTGTGAAAAAACACATCCATAATGAAAAAAGAGCTGTGGGTAATGCATCTATTCAAAATTTTGAAAGAAGTTTGACGTTCAAAAAATAAGTGGGTGAGGGATCCTTGGGAATTTTCGCAAAGGGCACACACATGTTGTAGGAAGCAATTCCTCAAGTTGCAAGATATCTATAGTATTCAAGCCACCAACCATTATTCCCAAATAAAGGTAGCATATTTAAGGAATGCACTTTGAACCATATGTATTAATGCCGAGGGATAACCGGGAATCCATCATATAGAAAGAAGTAATCTTATGGGAATAGAAGCTTTTCTTCGATCCAAGAATACTGTGAAAGAGAATAATAAATCGATAGTAGCATAATTTTTGGAAAGCATTCATTTGAAGTCTGCTGTGGAGGAGGGAGGCGCCATCTATCACTTTGATTCATATAAAAAATACATACATTTTTGGAGGAAGAGAACTAGAAAAAACATACTTCCCCAAGTTTTTTGTACATAGAGCTTCCAAAAAGCAAGGGGTCATAGAAAAGGAAAAGGCTACTATCACTCTTAAAAATAAAACTAATGCAACTCCTTGGCTTGGTTGTGTTTTCGTTTAGCTTTTCTAGATAAAGAGTAATAATTCTGTGTGTAAAACCAAAAAGAGAAACACTTTGCAAAACACTAATCATAGCGAATAGATTTGGTGTTATAAAATCCTCAAAATATTTTACCTTTGCATATGATATAAATAAAGAATGTCAGGAATCATCGTCGTAGAATTAGATGGAGGTACCTAAAAGACACAAATAAAACTATTTTTATGAGTAAAATTCAATATTTCAAAATTTGAGATGTCCATGAAGAAACAAATTCTATGCGGGATCAAGTAACAAAAACTATTAAAGAATTGACATAAGTTGTACTTAGAGAATCAAAAGAAAAAATTTATATAAATGAAAAAAGTTGGCGGTAGAATAATAATATGCAAGAAAAGATAAAATATAAGAAGACACGTTATAAAAATTGGTTTAAATGTAAAAGCATAGAGAACTAAGAAAAATATCAAACGACCCATAAGGAATCTAAAAGAACAATCTGTGACACTAAAAATTATGTTTTTAGTGATCTTTTTAATAGATTAGATAATAAGGAGAGTGAAAAATATATGTATAAACTTGCCAAACAAAGAGAAAAGAAAAGTAAAGATTTGACTAAGTAGAAAAATTTAACTCAAGTAAAGTGTATTAATGATGAAAATCAAAAAGTGTTTTTTTTAGAAAAAAATATTCAACATAGGCGGGGGAGGTTTTTTTATATTTTGGATAAACTTTTTAATGGTGTTTCGAAAAATAAGATCGACCTTAGTGACTTTAATATTGTTAATAATAATAAAATGTTTCATTTTTATCGTCGTATTAGTAAAAAAGATTAGTAAAAAAGAATTAGTAAAAAAGAAGTTGATGAGGCTTTAAAGAAAACCAACGGTGGAAAGTCTGTAGGATCTAATGATTACCCAATTGAAGTGTGGAAATATTTAGGAGAATTGGGAGTTTCTTGGCTTAATAAACTCTATATTATTATTTTAAAAACTAAAAAGATGCCTGAGGAGTGGATAAAGAGTACTTTGGTCCCTAATTTTAAGATTAAAGGGGATGCACAAAAGTGTCAATTATAGAGGAATAAAGTTGATTTGTCATACTTTAAAATTATGGGAGAGGATAATTGAATATAGGTTAAGACGTATAACAAAGATTTCTCATGATCAATTTGGATTTATGTCTGGCGGGTCTAATATGGAAGCTATACATTTATTGAGAGGTTTGACGGAGAAGTTCAAAGATAATAAGAAGGATCTACATATAATTTTTATTGATTTAGAAAAAGCATACAATAGGGTTCCAACAGATATCCTTTGGGTGTTGATATGACTTATATTCAAGTCATTAAAGATATCTATACATGAACTGTTGTTACTTGTGTTCAAACAGATGGAGGATTGACCAAATATTTTCCTATTTCTATTTGTTTAAATCAGGGATCGGCTTTAAGCCCATATCTTTTTACTTAGTTATGGATGGTCTTATTGGACTCTTACAGAAGGATGTACCTTGGTGTATGTTTTTTGCTAATGATCTCCTTCTCGTGGATAAGACAAGAGAAAAAGCTCAGCAAAAACTTGAATTATTGAGGAGATTATGGAGGCCTACCTTGGAGTAGGACTAAAACTGAATACATGGAATGTAATTTTAGTTGTAGTAGCTCTAGCGATAGGAATGTAACTATGGGTGATCAAATTATTAAAAGGTGTGAACGCTTTAGATATGTTGGGTTTATTGTTCAAAGTGATGGTGATATTGATGGGGATGTTATTAGTAGAATTTAAATTGGTTGGTTGAAGTGGAGGAATGCTTCGGACCTATTGTGTGATAGAAAAGTCCCGCTTAGACTAAAAAGAAAATTTTATAAGATGGTGGTGAGACCTGCAATGCTATATGGCGTTGAATGTTGGCTTTAAAAGAGAAGCATAAAACTAAGGGTCTGTTTGGACCAGCTGCAGCTTATCCAGCTTATGCTGATAAGCAGTTTATCCTGATAATCTGCTGATGAGCAGCTGATCCGAATAAGCTGGCTGGCTGTTTGGTTTGTGTGTTTAGAAAATAGCTGTCTGGATAAATGATCATTCTGCCCTTGTTTTAGATAAATTGTTTAGCTGTTTGGTTTGTGCGTTCTGTAAACAGTTGATTCGCAAATTTTCTTAGTTAAATAAACAATCTGTCACGCAGAAGTTGCACTTTTCTCAACAAAACGACAATGTATACGTGTTAGATATTTTAAAACCAATTAACATTTTTCAGACTCATTCGACACATACTGACCACCCAAAAATACCAACATAACATTGATTTATATGGAATGCGACAAGTTTGTAAAGTTCAAATGTTAAGACATGAAAATACAAAAGAGTTGAGTTATATTTATATCACTAAAATATTTCTGATCACTTCAAATAGATTTTTTCTTCTGCTTACACATTGGAATGGAGGCCTACACATTGCAATGGAGACCCAAATATCACTTACATGCAATATCAAACGAAGCAAAACACCCACCGAAGTAGACACAGGAAAGATATTTGTATCAAAGCTTGAATATGTAATGCCACCAAATCCATTTACAGTAAGGATACAATGGGTGCTTAAACAACAGATCAGATAGCACACAAAGGTTAGAAACTGTTAATTTGAATTGAAAGGCCAACAGGGACAACATACTCGTATAATAATCAAAACTTTGTTGAAATCAAGCCAAACCAAGCAAGTTTACAATCCATAAGCCACTGCCGAGCAAGTTTACAATCCAAGACGAACCAAATTTATTGAAATCAAGCCTACCATCCCTAATTCAACTGTCCAACGACAAAAATCAACATGATACTTTTTTATTTTCAAGCTATGCTAGCATTGAACTATCAATTTTCTTTCCCATTTTTTCACGCTTATATCATACATCCATCATTTTTGTTTGTTCTAGCCTTTTTAAATGTCCAAATCACTTAATTCTACTCATTCTACTTTATATTTAATATCCAATTGTTTCTATAATACAATACTTTCTGACACCGTCATTTCAAACTTTGTGACAATTTTAACTCAATATTCTCATTTATTCTACACTCAAACCAGCTATCGGTGAACTTTTTCATTTCACATAGCACAGATTCATGTAGCATTAAAAAAGCCTGAAAACCAAAACAAATTTGTCCTGAACAAGCGTTGTCATCAGCCTTTGGATCACAAGTTGTCACCAGCATCAAGCAAACTTTACATACATTAAAATACTTTTCTAAAAGTAACATTAAACTTGATAAAAATAATAACCTTCAAAGATACTGAACTCATTAGCAATCTGGAGAAGCTTGAATGCACTGCGCACTCCCCAAACCTCCTCCTTTTCCTTCCGGTAGTAGATATCCTAAAACCAAACCACGTTACATACAAACTCAGGAATGTGAAGATAAAACCCATAAGAGGTCAAACAAAGATGAAAGAAAACAGATATATAGAGGATCAATTCAAGAAATCTTACCCTTTTATCTTTCAAAGCCTTTCCCATTAACGTTCACAGCTATGGAAAGAAAAGTTGTGGGTAAAGAACAGCGGGGTAAAGAACATCGGCAATGAGTTTGTATGTGAGAAGGAAAGAAAACTTCTAGTGAGGAAGAAATCAAATATTTCTTTAACAGCTACAGCAGCTAACGCCTAACATCAACGTAGAGGCGGCTGGCAGCTCGTCCCCGAACGATGCTTCTGCAGCTGATCTCCAGTGGTGTGGGGAGGTGAGAGAAGGGGAATGATTCCGGCGGAGGTGATCGTGGAGATACTAGCGGGATTGGACATGGGGTTCATTGGGGGTGCAGAGATTGATGAAGAGGAAGTGCTAGGAGCCATCAACGATGAGGCCGACGGAGAAAAGATGAGGAGAGCGAAGGAAGAAGTGTCAGGCCGTGATACAGCGGCGAGGAAGGGATGATGCGATCGCGGGACTTGAGCGATGCAGAGGATGACGATTGTCTCTCGCGAGCGAGGGAGAAGGGCACCTAAGGAAATAAGCGATCAAAAATGCGGCCCGTGGGGGTCATCCCATGGGCCGCGTGCTTCACAAAATTAAAACGTAGTTTTTAGATACGCACTTGAAACGTGCAATCCAAACACTAGGGCCCCGTAGTTTTAAGCTATCCCAAACGGGCCCTAAGTTAAGTGTTGCCGAGATGAGAAAGAGATGGGAAGAAAAGGGATGGGAAGGGATCCATAGAGGACCAGGCGGAAGGCCCCAAAGGGGGCGCAAAAAGGGGAGAACCAGGAGCAGCGACAATGAGGGTATTTGGCGGAGAGGAAAGGGGTGAAGAAAGGAATAATGAATATTTTTAAATTACCAAATACTATAAATTCCAATCAAACGGCTCAGGAATTTAACAGGATTTAATAATTAGGGACACGGAAATTGCGAGGTAGTTAACAAAACCATCGAAAGAATTCGAATCCAATTCGGCAAAATGAATCAACTTAGGAAGTTGCAACACAGTAAAATACATAAGATGATCACAGCATGAACCATTTGTAACATAAGAATTAGCATGATAGACTTCTGTTCCTCTTTTGGGAACGAATTAGTTTTTTCAACATTCAAAAATAGAAGCATCAACAGGCAATGCAATTACCTTATTTGTTCATAATTTATTTAATATTTCTAGCACTTAGCAAAATCAGGACCAACGGAGATCTGGCCACCGCCGTGCCCGGCCCAATTGAACGTGCCGCTCCCAGCGATAAAATACCCGACGGCATGTCCAAGAACAGCGGCAATGAGAACTCCGACGTTAAATGACATGACTGCAAGCATCACGAGGTAGAGCAACCCCATCTGCAATGTGTGGAGAACGGTGAGAGCCAATCCAATGGAAGCCCTGGCGCCAGCGGAGGCGGTAGGTGGCTGAGCGTGGCGGCGAGAAAGGGTGGAGAGGCACTCCACGGCGGCGGCGGCAATGGCCACTAGAAATAGGGCGAGAAGATAGACACCGAAGCCGCGGTCACCAGGCCAGCCTGAGAATAGGATCTGGACCCGATCGCCCCAGAAAAAGGTCATGTGCATCATGCCGTGTTGGCCGTGGGCGGCCATGTTGGGACTAGACGCCGGCAGTGGAACCATCCTGTCCATGTCCGCGGATTTGGGTTAACTGTAAGAAGGAAAAAAGGGAGGAGAAGAAGATAAGGGGCGTGAACCGCCAGTGCCACCTTGCCTCTCCGAAATTTGGTGTCTCAACTTGATCCACACACAATAAAGTAATAGATTTATAGAATTTAAATAAAAAATATAATTTCAAATATTGTCTTTTCTATTAATGAAATCTATATATTTTGAGATATTATTTAATGCAGGCAGGGAGCTGCAAGTTTTAGGATGGCGGTTGTAAATGTGCTTTGGAAAAATAACTTTCTTAAAGAGATGTTGTGGATATTTTAAATATTTTTTTTTCAAAATATTAGACGGTTGTTTTAACACTACAATTAAATTTTAAAATTAACATGAAAATAATAGTCAAGCCGAGCTATAATGGTAGTCCGGAAAGCAAAGCAACTAAAAATCTATCTCAAACAGATGTTAAGTTATTGACATTTTGGGAACACATCTGTGAATCTCACCAAAAAGTTGATTACCTAAATTTTGGGAGCTTATGTTTAACTAATAGCCAAGGTATGTATAAGTAGGATACCAACCACATCTATTTTATAACAGGCAATTATTACTAACCTAATCTATTTTATAACAGGCAACTATTATGATTTAACCCTAAACCAAACTTCAAAATAAAATGTTAAGGGTTGAACTCAAGTGGCTTCATTTCCAGTAACTGAACTCATTCTAATAAAATTCAAGAGATTCCAATTTAAACTCTCTCTCTCTCTCTCTCTCTCTCTCTCTCTCTCTTATTTTGTTATTTTGATCGTTAGTATAATTTTTGAGCTATTCGTGAAAACTTTTGACATAGAACATCTTCAAATATGCAATGACCACAGACATATGCCAAATATTAAAAAAGTGATACCTCGAACAAAATAAAGTAACTTTAGTGAATATAGACATTTAAGACTTTAGTACTAGTTGACTTTTGGAAAAATAATGGAGGATATAATGAATAGAATGGTTCAAGGAATCTTTAAGTAGATTTTTAGAGCTACTACCATTATTGAAATTCAAGAAAGAGCTTCAATTTTTATCATTCGTAAGAGACGCTCAAATAAAAGAGCATTATTATCCACTCAATAAACTTTTAGATTTATTATCTTAACAAAAATGTAGAATCAACTCCTTAACCTAATAGTGCATACAAATAAATTAATAGGAGGAAGATATAAATAACTAATACCTTTTCAAATGACATGCAGAATCAAAGCCTCATACTAAATTTTAGATTTCTCATACTAGCTCATATGGGGCCGAGATAAAGCTAGTTAATTATATCACCTACTTTAAATTGGTTGTTACTATAATTGATAATAAGGATGCTCTAAAGTGTAAGTTGATACTTTTCTAATTTTATGAAGTTGCCTCTTAAGTGGTTCACTCACTTTATGCTAGGGACAATTACTCTATATGTCAAGTTCAAAATAATGTTCATCCTCAAATTTCAAGTGCTTGAAAGTTGTTAAAAAAATATCATGATTTATTGAATATGTAATATAAATTGGTGAATAACTAAGGAACATTATTACATGCTCCTACAAGAAAACACTAAGTGGGAAATACTTAGTCCAAACTATGGATTGATCTATTCACAATTAAGGTTTAACAAAGGACCTTTTTACCATGCACTAAGTAAGCAACTATTAAAAATATTAGTGAGCTATTAGAACTCACAAACATGCATATTATCAATGAATAAGAATATAACTATAAGAGGACCACTTTAAATTTAGGTTGAACTAAAAACTCCACTAATGTAGATAAATTTTTGGGATTTTTCCTAGGATTAATGAATTCACCCAAAGAACACATGGCTAAAGAATAATTTGCATCTTTGCTTGAAGCAGCATGACCAACATCATCGACCATATCATTAAAATTGGAAAATAATAAAGGCAAATAATGATGATGATAAAAAATGGATTAGTGATTATTTATACACTCCAGTGCCTAAATATCACATTTTTGAGTACTTTAATAATTAAAATAATAAAATACATTAATTACCAAAGCTTTTTAAAGTGATGAGCTCCCTTGAAGGCTATCCCCTATATGAGAAATCCAATGAAGTATTGTGCTTTTCACTTAGAACTTTAGCTTTATACTAAAAATTATATAAATCTTTATTATTTGAAAGAAGAATTATTAAGGCAAGTAAACTAGTATTTTTTTCCCTATAAGTTTAGATAGGAAATAAGGAAATGCACCAATGGAAAGGCAGAGAAGTAACATTATACTATATTAGGCTAGTCACATTCTTTGTTTTGTTTCTTCCATCCATGGTAGGATAGAAGAAGCTTCAAATGGGCAAGTGATACGCCTTGGAATGGTGCCAACATACTCTAAGCACCCAAATTTTAAGTGCAAGGGTCTCATGCAAGTGCACGTGTCGTATTATTAATATCGGATTTTCAATCTGGAATATCAATCTTACATGGACTGAGGCAATTAGACTTAAAAGAAATGCCAGACTATTAGGTTTAGCTCTTAGCCTAGAATTGAAATGAAGTTATGGTTCTGGTAACAACTCCTATTGAATTACAATCAAGTTTAAAGGTTAAATCTTGCATGAATCTTACTCATCCTAATTGGTTTGGTGATTATCAAGTTATAAAGCTGCCTTCTCTTGCAATGGTTTAACTGGTAATGTAGAAAATGTAAAATTTCAATTATGAATGTGGCTAGTGACAAATAGGATCAACTCACTTCTTTACCCTCTCCATGTACATAAAGAAGTTTGGTTAAATTTGTTTTAATTCCTTAAACCTCAACTTGAACCCATCAATTATATCCCTAACATTTTCCTAACATTTGCATCTCTCTATAAAGTACTTGCACATATCCTATAGATCAATGTGAATAACCTAGTTATTCTATTGTAGCCTTCACGAGTTATTATAGATCACAACACATTTAACTTATCACTTGATCGGAATGAAATATAAATGAAATTTAGACACATTACTTGATAGTGAGACTTGATTAAATAAATTAAAGATTTTATAACATTTATTTTAGTCTGCGAAACTTTTTAAGTTGACCGACAAGTTCCTCTATCTATTATAGAATATTAGATAGAGTTTATATTAAGTCGGTTTCCAAAGTTCCTTATAGAGGCAAGCTCCTATAGTTAATTATATCTGAAGCCACTTAAGAATGTTCTCTATTCAGATTAGTGGTTTTGTTTTCAAGAATTTCGAAGTTTAAGATTTTCAAGATTGGACATTGAAAGTTCAAAAGAGAATGGATCAAGTGGGAACAATTATTTTTAGGAATCAAAAGGAATGAAATGTAGGAGATGTCACTGGTTCGAGGGAAACCTCAGTGACTTCTTAAGCTATCCTACTATTTGGGTTCAATTTTGAGAAAGTATTATTCAATGGTTCATCCTGCCATTTTTATTATTTAGGGCTTACACTTGCATGACACAGTCATATAAATAGCCTGGAAGATAGGATGGTTTAAGTCATAACTAATGAAAAACTCGGAGCCTATTTAATGCTTAAATTGCACAACATGACTGTGCAAAGGCCTAAAGATGAGTTGTGGATTGAAGTCATGCTAGATGAACTATCTCCAAGTCCTATGGCTCATTATTAAATTCTAAAGAAAGGTTTATTGTTGTAGACCAATGACCTTCACTTGCTCCATCTTACTTCGAGCTCCTCGTTTAAGTGAAATGTTCAGATATGTTTCAAGTTCATTTAAACTTAATATGTTGTCAAATGAATCACCCAAATTTAAGTTTAGATTTAGTGGTATTTAATTTATCCTATGCTCAATGAACCTTAATGTTTTAGTTATCCCATGAGCAGGGTAACTAGGTATTCTCTTGATATTTTACTTAAAAGTTTTGTGAGCGAAAGTCGATAATGATAAACTGAATCATCAAAGACCTGGTTTTTGATTAAAGTTGGGTTTGTAGTGTTTTAAAGGTATTCATGATTAATTATTTTTCTCTTTTCTAAACCTCATTAGGCAAATTCAGATCAGGCCTAATTCACTATTAAGCCATTAGATTACCTTTATGGATAAGTTTATAATAATTAAGGATGTTGGATTAAGTGGATTTAATTCTCATTAAAAGCTTATCATGCACTTATCATCTATGACCAATTAAAGGGCTTCAGATGAGTAAATTATTATCTTCCTAGCTCAATCCCACTACCTTACGATCATCTAATTAGGTTAACTTCCAAGTCACAATAATTTAGAAAAATTACGATTTTACTCTTGTTATAGAAAAGATGTTAATTGGTTTCTACCTCATACCCTTCATATTTTAAAAATTTATATAAGTTTATTATGATCAATATTACCCATTTATTGTTTTACTTAACCAAAATTTTAATTAGGGCTTCAAAATCCATAATTACCATTTTGCCCTTAGGCTCTCCACCTCCTAATTCCTTAAATTTAACTCAAATGACTTTGAAATTTTTTTGGTACCCCCATTCATGGGTCAATTAAAATATCAAAGGAGAAATTATAACTTTATTATTTTTTTTATTTAGTTTTTAATAATTATTTTAGCTAAAAAATAGGGATTTTCAATGTTAATTTATTTTAGTAATCAAAGTAAAGTTTCTGTCTTTAGGAAAATTGCTGGAGATTCACCTAGGTCAGAAGACCACTTAGACCAATATTCAAATTTTATTGTGTTTTATTTTAATTATTTTATTTATTTATTGTGATGATAAATTAAATAGAAAATATGTTTTAAATTAAAAAATTAATTTTTATATTTTTCTTTATTCTCTCTCAGTTCAAAGAACTCAGAGAAAAAAATTTTCATTTTCGTGATTTTCATTCTATTTATTGTAATTATTTAATACAAAATTATGGAAAATACATTTTAAGCATTTAAAAATACATAACTATATTATGAAAATTAGGAAAAATGGTTTAAGTGGTTCCAAGTGGTCAGGGAAAAATTTGTGACAATTCACTTCATTTTTATATTTTTATATTTTTAAATATTTTTAAATTAAAAATATGCTAAAAAATTCCACTTTATAGACATTGACTTAGGGCTTAATTGACCAAGCTAGGGGATGGAGAAGGATTCTTAAGTG